TCGTCTCGCGATCATATATCAGTGCATTGAGCTGAGCAACAACAGAACCGAGAGGCATTTAAGAGAGTCGAGGGCTTTATGTGGAGCATTTCTCATGTAAATGATCACGGACTCTCAATGCAGACACTGAATAAAGCCTTATGGAAATCCAGTAGCGTTTCAGAGATTACTTACTGTACGAGGAAAACTTACTGTATAAGGAAAACTTACTCCACGAGGAAAACTTACTTACTGTATGAGGAAAACTAACTTACTGTACGAGGAAAACTTACTGTACGACGAAAACTTACTTACTGTATGAGGAAAACTTACTGTACGAGGAAAACTTACTTACTGTACACGGAAAACTTACTGTACGAGGAAAACTTATTTACTGTATGAGGGAAAACTTACTGTATGAGGAAAACTTACTATACGAGGAAAACTTATTTACTGTATGAGGAAAAATTACTGTACAAGGAAAACTTACTGTACGAGGAAAACGTACTTACTGTATGAGGAAAACTTACTATACGAGGAAAACTTATTTACTGTATGAGGGAAAGCTTACTGTATGAGGAAAAGTTAGGCTACTGTACGAGGAAAAGTTACTGTACGAGGAAAAGTTACTGTATGAGGAAAACTTACTGTACGAGGAAAACTTACTTTGAGGAAAACTTACTTTATGAGGAAAACGTATTTACTGTACAAGGGAAAACTTACTGAATGAGGAAAACTTATTTACTGTATGAGGGAAAACTTACTGTGCGAGGAAAAATTATTGTATGAGGAAAACTTACTGTACGAGGAAAACTTACTGTATGAGGAAAACTTACTGTATGAGGAAAACTTACTGTATGAGGAAAACTTACTGTATGAGGAAAACTTACTGTATGAGGAAAACTTACTGTATGAGGAAAACTTACTGTACGAGGAAAACTTACTGTACGAGGAAAACGCATTTACTGTACGAGAAAAACGTATTTACTGTATGAGGAAAAATTACTGTATGAGGAAAACTTACTGTACGAGGAAAACGTATTTACTGTATGATGAAAAATTACTGTACGAGGAAAACTTATTTACTGTATGAGGAAAACTTATTTACTGTACGAGCAAAACTTATTTACTGTACGAGGAAAACTTATTTACTGTACGAGGAAAACTTACTGTACGAGGAAAACTTATTTACTGTATGAGGGAAAACGTATTTACTGTATGAGGGAAAACTTATTTACTGTATGAGGGAAAACTTATTTACTGTATGTTGGAAAACGTATTTACTGTACGAAGAAAACGTATTTACTGTACGAGGGAAAACTTACTTATTTACTGTATGTTGGAAAACGTATTTACTGTACGAGGAAAACTTACTGTACGAGGAAAACTTACTGTACGAGGAAAACTTACTGTACGAGGGAAAACTTATTTACTGTTAGAGGAAAACTTATTTACTGTACGAGGAAAACTTACTGTACGAGTAAAACTTATTTACTGTATGAGGGAAAACGTATTTACTGTATGAGGGAAAACTTATTTACTGTATGAGGGAAAACTTATTTACTGTATGTTGGAAAACGTATTTACTGTACGAGGAAAACGTATTTACTGTACGAGGGAAAACTTACTTATTAACTGTATGTTGGAAAACGTATTTACTGTACGAGGAAAACGTATTTACTGTACGAGGAAAACTTACTGTACGAGGAAAACTTACTGTACGAGGAAAACTTACTGTACAAAGGAAAACTTACTGTTTGAGGAAAACTTACTGTATGAGGAAAACTTACTGTATAAGGAAAACTTACTGTACTGTACGAGGAAAACTTACTGTACGAGGAAAACTTACTGTACGAGGAAAACTTACTGTACGAGGAAAACTTACTGTGCGAGGAAAACTTATTTACTGTATTTACTGTACAAGGAAAACTTACTGTACGAGGGAAAACATACTGTACAGGAAAACTTACTGTACGAGGGAAAACATACTGTACAAGGAAAACTTACTGTACGAGGAAAACTTACTGTACGAGGAAAACTTACTGTGCGAGGAAAACGTATTTACTGTATTTACTGTACAAGGAAAACTTACTGTACGAGGGAAAACTTACTGTACGAGGGAAACTTACTGTACGAGGGAAACTTACTGTACGAGGAAAACTTACTCCACGAGGAAAACATATTTACTGTATTTACTGTACAAGGAAAACTTACTGTACGAGGGAAAACATACTGTACAAGGAAAACTTACTGTACGAGGAAAACTTACTGTACGAGGAAAACTCACTGTACGAGGAAAACGTATTAACTGTATTTACTGTACAAGGAAAACTTACTGTACTAGGGAAAACTTACTGTACGAGGAGAACTTACTGTACGAGGGAGAACTTACTGTACGAGGGAAACTTACTGTACGAGGGAAACTTACTTACTGTACGAGGAAAACTTGATGAGGGAAAACTTATTTACTGTATGAGGAAAACTTACTGTACGAGGAAAACTTGCTGTACGAGGAAAACAGACATTTCATACATGAAATAGAAACAATGAAATAGTTTTGTCAAAAGACCAAAATAAAACAACTGGTGATTAGGAGTGTAACAATATATCGCAATACAAAAATGCAACAATATGTATCGAGGATAGTGACAATATATATTGTGTGTAGTTCACCCACAATGAAAATTACTGTGTGAGAAAAAAATTCAACTTTTCATAGTTTTAGTGTCAGTACTACATTAAACTACTATATATAATGTTGAATATAATGTATAATAATGCAGTGGGGATATTTGTGAATCCTGATAATGCCAGATGTCTGATGTTTCCAGTAAAAGTGTCCAACATTATTTTAAATATGTCTAGTCAGTGACAGTGAAAGCATATTCGTCTATGATAATTCTGTATTTTCAGCTTCAGAATCATGAATATTGTTATTCTGGTGTCTCTATTGTCCTGTGCTTTGGGTTTCAGCACCAAGTCCAGACCTCTTCATTTACACACACAATCAAACTATTCCGATCAATCTCTGAAATGGACTCACGTTTCTCGTCGTCTTGATGCACTAAAGATGCTGCTCTCGACAAGACATCCAGAGGCGTTTCCATCCTGGCCCAGACCCTGCGCAGGAAAAGCAGAGCGTTAAAGCCATACTTCACCCAAAAATGAACATTATCTCAAGATTTACTCTCCCTCAAGCCATACTAGGTGTTTATGACATTCATCTTTCAGCCGAACACAATCAGAATTATATTGAAAAATGTCCTGGCTGAGCCTGAGATTTTGAAGCGCATCCATCATAACAATAATCCATACGGATACAGGGGTTAATAAAGGCCTTCTGACGCCAAGAAAAATATCCATATTTATCACTTTATAAACTATAATCACTGGCTTCCAGTAACGGCCATGACCTCTGACCCGACGCATGACGTATTGGCGAACATGGAAGCGCAGAGAATTGAGCAAAACAAAACACCGGTCACGAATTAGACTTCTAAAAGGAGCATTATTAAAGAGAAATGTGGGAGGAGCTTGAGTTTGTTGTTTGAACCGCGAGAGGCGTCGACTCTCAGCTGAGCTTACTACTCCTACATCATACGTCATGCGTGGGGTCAGAGGTCATGCGTGGGGTCAGAGGTCACTCTTCCACCAGAGCTCAACTCGTGTATGGCCGTTAACGCAAGCCAGTGATTATTATAGTTTATAAAGATGTAGGCCTATATTTTTCTTGGCTTCAGAAGGCCTTTATTACCCCTGTTATGATGGATCCGCTTCAAAATCTCAGGCTCCATTCAATCCCATTATAAAGCTTGGAAGAGCCAGGATATTATTTAATAAACTCTGATTGAGTTCGGCTGAAAAAAGATAGTCATAAATAAACATATAGGATGGCTTGAGGGTGAGTAAAATAAGGGATAATTTTCATTTTTGGATGAAGTAACCTTGTAAAGTCAGCAACACGTGAATGTAACATTATTTTCATGACGTCGCATCCAGAAGTAAACTATATCAGTAAATACTGGGAAGGTCTTTACACAATCCACATGTTTTCTCGTGCCAGAATAAACAGCGCAAACATGAATGAGAACTGAAAAACACTGCTTGCTCTTCCCACACTGAACATTCCCAGAGCGCATTCCACACACACAGCTGAGCGCCTTCCTACAGGAGATCCCAACTTTACAATGGGAATTATAACTTCGGGAATGCGCTTTGTGGACGCGCAGAACGAGAACGCGCCGCTAGCGCTCAACCGCACGCGCGCGTTTCCTTAATAATGTTTGCGGTGCGTTTGCATTTTAGTCGCGCGCTTTTAAGTTAGTCATTAATGTTTTACTATCAATTGCTCACACGTTACTTATTAATGTGTCGCATGAAACTGCGTGACCTCGCATGTTCTGGAACTCTCGGGTTGTGTTACAGTGTAACGTGTTGTTGTCTTCGACTCTTTCCGTACAAGTGCTGCTTTATTTGCGATTCCTGCTCCTGTAATGATCCTAAACTCCGTGTATAACCACTCTTTCTTACATGTTTAAGAACAAACTACGTACCACTTTGAAAAGCCACTTTGAAATCTCCACAATCACAAAGTCGATGAGAGATCCCGAGCAAAATAGTGGGGCTAAATCCAGTGGGAAAGATCCAGGGTTTGATGCGGTAATCCAGGAGTGTGTGTGTGAGAGAGAGAGAGTGTGTGTGTGTGAAGCAGAGCTGTGAGGAAGAATGCTTGGAATGATGGAATTCTCTTCCTAGCAGGTGATGAGAGCCGAGCATTCTCATTGGTCGAGGTCAAGGGATGAGATCAGCATACATTATGCTAATGAGGGAGTGACGTCATCGTGTCCTTGCAACAGGTACAACGTGAAGGGGAAGTCCGCAAATACACAAACACACACTTTACAAGAATATTTTTAGAAAGGTTTATTGACATTTTCTTAGGAATATAAGACTATGAATGGATCCAGTCATTAGTTTCATGCTTAGACAGTAATATTTCCACAGTTGATATTTATTTACAATGTTTGACACGGTTATGAGTTATTGTGAAATGCGTTTGGAAATAATTGTCAGTCACGAGGGTTTTCTACGCCAGCCTCTCCACATTTTCTGCAGCTTTCTTGCGCTGTATGACACCGTTTTGAAGAGACCTGTAAAACAAGTTTCAACATCAGTGTGTCACTAATAAATGTGTAATCAATATATGAAAACGCCAAAATATTTCAGAAACACCAAAACTTATTCTTGAGTGAATCATCAAAGCATGGAGGATTTCAGCTCTATTTACTGTTACAAAAAAAAGTTTACAGTATGAGCAAATTAAAAACATTTATAAATGTCTAATAAATATCTGGTATTGTAAAAAAAAGAAAAAAAAAGAAATAAACATCCTTCTATTATGCTTTGAGGACATGATTATATCATACTTTTGATCAAGGATAGAGAAAATCAACAAAAAAAATTCAACACACAAGTGATCATCAATGTTTCGTCCCACATCTGAAGAATAAAGGATCAGATGACCTCTGAACCCTGAACTCTCACCCGCGGTGGCGATTCCTTTGGCACTCTGAGTTAGACTGGAAGTTTTCACTATCGATGAGATTCCTGTGAAAACAGTGTAATTATAATTTGGCAATTACAAGAAGTATATCAAGCAGGGATGCACAATATATCGGCCACCATATCGGTATCGTTATCGGCCCGACGAGAAAATGTGGCTGACATATTAAAGCTGATAAATAATGTATTATTTCCTTCAGCTGAGACGCTTCAGATGCACACCGTTCAACATGATGGTTTTGAATTGCTTGAAATATGATTAGAATCACTTCAAAAAAATTAAAATACAGTAAAGTGCAACACAAGTCTGTCATATCGGCTACATATTATAATTAGAACATTATAGTTGTGTGTTTGGGACATGGATTTTAATAAAATAAAATAAAAGGATTTATATTTATCTGCCAATATATCGGTTATCGGCTTTCAAATATAAAGAATTATCGATATCGGCCAAAATGTTCATATCGGTGCATCCCAAATAACAAATAATCTGCATGCAGACCTGCTGTCATTTTTAAAAGTTATTAGTGAATAAATATATTCAACCTAAGTATTATATAACTGAAAAGTGAAATAACTTCAAATGAAATGTATGGTGAATTAAAACAACTTTTGCTTTATGTTGTGAGATATTGTCATGTTTCAGTATTCCTTACTAAATTATGCAATTCATTCTAAACATTGACAGATGATTTTATTTACAGAAGTGGTAATTTCACCAAAATCAAGGTCAAGATCAATAATGCTTCTCACAGTGATTGACAGATGATAGTAATATTCTGGCGAAATGCATTTCAGCAACTCTTAATACTGGAGAGTCAGGAGTTAAGCGTAGGGCAGAGATACAGCCAGGTGTTTGTGCGAAACGCTGACGGTTATTATGACAATGAGACATGAGGGTGAGGCCGTGGAGAAACTCAACACCGACTAAACCCAGCCGGCCAGTTTGGCGAGTCTCTAAAACCACTGCTTGCTTGCCCTTTCATTCATCTCGGGTGAAATGGTTTATTTCGCGCTGTTTATCCAAGTAAATCCAGCTCTGCAGTTCTTCATGCGTTTATTAGACGGCGTCAGTGTTTAGTCCCGGATATACTCACGGAAAACTTCTTTACGTTCTTCGTCCGAGGGTAAAAACAAGTTGGAAACACCTTTGCAGTGATATACTGTTAGTACATGCGCTTAGATGAATGTGTGCTGCATTTTCTTCTCAATAACAACATAAACACCATGAAAATGAGAAAACAGTACAGATGCACCGACATGGAAATTTTGGTTGATACCGATAACCGATAATTGACAGACTTGATAATCATAATAAATGTTTCTTGAGCATCAGATCATCATATTAGAGTGATTTCTGAAGGATCATGTGACACTGAAGACTGGAGTAATGATGCTGAAAATTCAGCTTTGATCACAGGAATAAATTACACTTTGACTTTACTATATGTTCACATAGAAAACAGCTGATTTACACTGGAATAATATTTCATAATATTACTGTTTTTTATTGTCAAATAAACACAGCCTTGGAGAGCAGAAGAGACTCTTTAAAAAATATTTAAAATCTTGCCGATCCCAAACGTTTGACTGGTATTGTATATATACACATTTTTTTTTAAAGAGTCTCTTTTATATACACACACACACACACACACACACACACACACACACACACACACACACACACACACACACACACACACACACACACACACACACACACACACACACACATCAGGGCCTTTGGAACATGTGCAGTGGCTTTAACACTGATATTCACATCTGGTTGTTGTAACATACACACACACACACACATCAGGATCTGGTTGTTGTAACGTATATACACACACACACACACACAAACATCCGGATCTGGTTGTTGTAACATACACACACACACACACACATCAGGATCTGGTTGTTGTAACGTATACACACACACACACACACAAACATCCGGATCTGGTTGTTGTAATGTATACACACACACACACACATTAGGATCTGGTTGTTGTAACGTATACACACACACACACACACCAGGATCTGGTTGTTGTAACGTATACACACACACACACGCATTAGGATCTGGTTGTTGTAACGTATACACACACACATCAGGATCTGTTTGTTGTAACGTATATACACACACACATCAGGATCTGGTTGTTGTAACGTATACACACACACACACACACATCAGGATCTGGTTGTTGTAACGTATACACACACACACCGGGATCTGGTTGTTGTAACGTACACACACACACACACACATTAGGATCTGGTTGTTGTAACGTATACACACACACACACACCGGGATCTGGTTGTTGTAACGTATACACTCACACACACACATTAGGATCTGGTTGTTGTAACGTATACACACACACACACACACACACACACACACACCAGGATCTGGTTGTTGTAACGTATACACACACACACATTAGGATCTGGTTGTTGTAACGTATACACACACACACACACACATCAGGATCTGGTTGTTGTAACGTATACACACACACACACACATTAGGATCTGGTTGTTGTAACGTATACACACACACACACACACAGGGATCTGGTTGTTGTAACGTATACACACACACACACACATTAGGATCTGGTTGTTGTAACGTATACACACACACACACCAGGATCTGGTTGTTGTAACGTATACACACACACACACACACATCAGGATCTGGTTGTTGTAACGTATACACACACACACACACACACCGGGATCTGGTTGTTGTAACGTATACACACACACACACACATTAGGATCTGGTTGTTGTAACGTATACACACACACACACCAGGATCTGGTTGTTGTAACGTATACACACACACACACACATTAGGATCTGGTTGTTGTAACGTATACACACACACATCAGGATCTGTTTGTTGTAACGTATATACACACACACACATCAGGATCTGGTTGTTGTAACGTATACACACACACACATCAGGATCTGGTTGTTGTAACGTATACACACACACACACACACCGGGATCTGGTTGTTGTAACGTATACACACACACACACACACACATTAGGATCTGGTTGTTGTAACGTATACACACACACACCGGGATCTGGTTGTTGTAACGTATACACACACACACACACACATTAGGATCTGGTTGTTGTAACGTATACACACACACACACACACCAGGATCTGGTTGTTGTAACGTATACACACACACACACATTAGGATCTGGTTGTTGTAACGTATACACACACACACACACACACACACATCAGGATCTGGTTGTTGTAACGTATACACACACACACACACATCAGGATCTGGTTGTTGTAACGTATACACACACACACACACATTAGGATCTGGTTGTTGTAACGTATACACACACACACACACACACATCAGGATCTGGTTGTTGTAACGTGTATACACACACACACACACACACACGGTTGTTGTAGCGTCACCTTGCTGTACGACGGATCCGCAGTCCGGGTCCTGTGCCACTTGCAGCAGGATCTCCTCCACGTCCCGGTTCTTCCCGGGCCGGTCCACCAGCGCCGTGATGTTCTGCTGGAGCGCGCGCGGGAGAGCCATGAGCTGCGTGAACTGGCCCTCGGGGCTCTTGTCCACCTGACGCACGGACATCGTGGAGGTTAGCATCATGAAGATCATTAAATCATGAAGATTTCGTGACACCAAAGCTGCCAAGTAGTTCTTACATACTATGTATTTTTTCACATATTGAGTATTGTTTTACAAATTGGTCATTAACTAGCATATCTTAATTGATAAAAAGGCATTGGCATTTCACCATTGCGATATTTTAGAGAGACAATTTTTATGCTTTGACAATTTCAAACGTTTCAAGTATGCTTGTTTGGTGTATAATTAAGTGTTACACAATTGTTTTTGCTATGTTGATTGTTTAATTGTCTTTTGTTTGCACCACCACACGGACCTCCAAACAACATTATGTACTGTATAGGGTTTCAGATTTATATGTAATAAAAATTCTTAAATTATTTTTGAGCTCATCGTCTTCCTAATTTGTTTTTTCACCAGTAATGCTGATGTTATGAGCGCACAGGTGTGTGTTTATAGAGTGTTTTACAACAGCTTCAAATGCAGCTCAGCCTCACATAATCTACAACCACAACTGTCCATTTTAAAACATCATGATTTCATCATGATTTTTACCCCAAAATTGTAAAAAAAAAAAAAAATTTGCAATAAGAAAATAAAGCAGAGATTTTTGGCATACTGACATTTTTATGAAAATAACACGAACAAGCCCTTTAGTGTCAACTACATAATTGAGTGACTTTCGAAATATTAATGCTAATACTCGCAGTTTTCAGCGCTACACACACATCGAAAGCGTGCGCACAGGAAAGGTGATTTTGATGTGATTTTAAACCATTCAGCGCTGCAGGCGTGTGTACTATTGGACAACTCTTAAAGTGACAGTACTAATATTCCTGCCGTCTCGTTTATAACACTAATCAAACTACAGAAGACAAAGAGATTATTCACTCGTTCTTGACTGAATAACTTTTGTAAGTATATTTGTAATTGATATTTTATTTATAAAATGCAGTGTTATTTTACATTTGATTACAGTTTCTGTACCTGAACACCTGCTAAAAATCTTAAAACACTGTTTATTTCAATCATATCTTTGTTCAGGTGTATCTATTTGCTGCCATTGCTTATTTGTTCTTTTTTAATTACTGAGCGTTTACTTGTCTTTAATACACTCACCTAAAGGATTATTAGAAACACCATACTAATGCTGTGTTTCACCCCCTTTCGCCTTCAGAACTGCCTTAATTCTACGTGGCATTGATTCAACAAGGTGCTGAAAGCATTCTTTAGAAATGTTGGCCCATATTGATAGGATAGCATCTTGCAGTTTATGGAGATTTGTGGGATGCATATCCAGGGCACGAAGCTCCCGTTCCACCACATCCCAAAGATACTATATTGGGTTGAGATCTGGTGACTGTGGGGGCCATTTTAGTACAGTGAACTCATTGTCATATTCAAGAAACCAATTTGAAATGATTCGAGCTTTGTGACATGGTGCATTATCCTGCTGGAAGTAGCCATCAGAGGATGGGTACATGGTGGCCATAAAGGGATGGACATGGTCAGAAACAATGCTCAGGTAGGCCATGGCATTTAAACGATGCCCAATTGGCACTAAGGGGCCTAAAGTGTGCCAAGAAAACATCCCCCACACCATTACACCACCACCACCAGCCTGCACAGTGGTAACAAGGCATGATGGATCCATGTTCTCATTCTGTTTACGCCAAATTCTGACTCTACCATCTGAATGTCTTAACAGTAATCGAGACTCATCAGACCAGGCAACATTTTTCCAGTCTTTAACTGTCCAGTTTTGGTGAGCTCTTGCAAATTGTAGCCTCTTTTTCCTATTTGTAGTGGAGATGAGTGGTACCCGGTGGGGTCTTCTGCTGTTGTAGCCCATCCGCCTCAAGGTTGTGCGTGTTGTGGCTTCACAAATGCTTTGCTGCATACCTCGGTTGTAACGAGTGGTTATTTCAGTCAAAGTTGCTCTTCTATCAGCTTGAATCAGTCGGCCCATTCTCCTCTGACCTCTAGCATCAACAAGGCATTTTCGCCCACAGGACTGCCGCATACTGGATGTTTTCCCCTTTTCACACCATTCTTTGTAAACCCTAGAAATGGTTGTGCGTGAAAATCCCAGTAACTGAGCAGATTGTGAAATACTCAGACCGGCCCGTCTGGCACCAACAACCATGCCAAGCTCAAAATTGCTTAAATCCCCTTTCTTCCCAATTCTGACATTCAGTTTGGAGTTCAGGAGATTGTCTTGACCAGGACCACACCCCTAAATGCATTGAAGCAACTGCCATGTGATTGGTTGATTAGATAATTGCATTAATGAGAAATTGAACAGGTGTTCCTAATAATCCTTTAGGTGAGTGTAATGCTTGAAATGTATATTAGCTTGGCTAGTTGTTTTTCTATGGTGTGAGTGTTATAGCCTGTAGTTTTTTTGTTCAGCTACAATTAAATGTTTTGCAATAAGACTAGATGTGAATGATATCTACGTTTTTTTAGTTTTTTTACCTTATTGGAATCGAAATTAGGAATCGATAAGCAGACTCGAAATTGGAATCGTAATCGCTAAAATTAAAAAAATACCCAACCCTAATTTCAAACAATCTCTAAGCTCTCCAGTAGCTCACTATAAAAAGCGAAAAATTATGAATTTATAGGGCAGGACAGGGAGTTTGTTGAGGTCAATTTGGAGAGAAAGACACACGCCTGCGCACATATATATTCAAATGCGAATACCTATAGACTAAACACGTAATACGCATGTGCACGCCGTCAGCGTTTACACAGATTCGCGTTTTTGAAGTTTGTGCGGAGATGATAACTTTTTTTTGTTTCACAATTTTTCACCGCTTGCACCTTGGAACCTGTTTCAAGTTTGGGTTCTCGAGCACCAGACACTGTTGTCGTGCAAGTGAGCGGCCGGAGCGCATTAAGGGTTTTCTGTTAGAACGGTGTCGTGTTAGCGGCCCCTAAGCTAATAACTAATGATCGTTGCGATGGAAGTGAATCAACCAAAACTAACTTTAGCTGGACAATAACTTTATTCTAGAGCTGCTGTAAAGTCAAAACAATCTCTGTTACTTTAATATCCTATTATCACTGTAAAGCTGCTTTGAAACAATCTATATTGTTAAAAGCGCTGTATAAATGAAGACTTGCCCTGACTTGACCTGACCTGACTTGACCTGATCTGACTTTACTTAACCTGACCTGATTTGACCTGACCTGACTTAACCTGACCTGACCTGACTTGACTTAACCTGACCTGACTTGACTTAACCTGACTTGACCTGACCTGACTTAACCTGACTTGACTTGACCTGACCTAACCTGACTTAACCTGACCTGACCTGATCTGACTTGACTTAACCTGACCTGACTTGACTTAACCTGACTTGACTTGACCTGACCTGACTTAACCTGACCTGACCTGACCTGATCTGACTTGACTTGACTTGACCTGACCTGACTTGACTTGACTTAACCTGACCTGAACTGACCTGACCTGACTTGACCTGATCTGACCTGATCTGACTTGACTTAACCTGACTTGACCTGACCTGACTTGACTTGACCTGACCTGACTTAACCTGACCTGACTTGACTTAACCTGACCTGACTTAACCTGACTTGACCTGACCTGACTTGACCTGATCTGACCTGACTTGACCTGACTTGACTTGACTTGACTTGACTTAACCTGACCTGACCTGACCTGAACTGACTTGATCTGACCTGACTTGACTCAACCTGACCTGACTTGACCTGACTTGAGCTGACTTGACCTGACCTGACTTGAGCTGACTTGACTTAACCTGACCTGACCTGACTTGACTTGACCCAGGGATGAGCAAGTGAATCTGCCTGATATCAGAGGAATAATCCCCAGGGATTGTAAACAGAGGAGTGTCTCTCACCTCGAGCCGGCCCTGCTGAGGCTTGTACACCACCTGAGGACACTCCTGAAGGATCTTGCTGTATAACCTGCGGAAATCATGCATGTTGTCTTTCACGATGTTGGAGACCTTGGCTTTATCCTCACCTATCACCATCCTGAAATCCCCTACAGCCACACAGAAGAGAAGCAATAAAATACATACTTATAGATATCAACATACTTCCACATTTGATTACATTAAGAATTGCAAAAGATTTTTTGTATTACAAGTTTCCTGAAAAGCTATGTTAAAAAATATGCAAATTAGGTATTGTTTAATTAAATATGCATTGATTTGCATCCATTTTCAAAACAGAAATTTGAGCATTGGATAAAGCCAGGTTAAAAATACTTGTTTTATTTTAATGACATATTAATCATCTGGTATTGGTCGTGTTTTTGTTGTTGTTGTTGTTGTTTATCAATTAAATGAATGTATTATATTTTAGTTCTACAAAGTTTCTTTGTTTACTTAATATTTTGCATTTTTAGGGGATTTTATGGTAGTAAATTATATTTATAATCCATTTATTTAGTTTTTGAGCATAGACTTAAACGGTCATAAATCTTGAATCCTTTGTAGTTTCAAACTTCTTCTTTTAAAGTTCAAAGTTCTTCTTTTTAAAGACGACACTTGGAAGATTATTGCTGAAGTGAAGAAAAGTTTAACCCTCAGGTGCAGTTCAGTCATTTTTTACCAAAAAATCATGGACATGATTCGAAAAGTTTAACGTGTGACGTGGTTAGACTGGTTTATTTCTTTTTTTACAACTTAATTTAGTAGCCAAATTGGCCGGTGTGTGAAAAAGTTCATTCCAAACCCTGATTAGAACTACAGCATAAATATAATTTAGTACCATAAAATTCCCTAAAATACAAAATATTAAACAAATAAAACACTCAAACTAAATTATAGTAGTCATTTCGTTGAAATAAAAAATAATGGTCATTTTTGACTGACACACGAGCAGTAACAGAGGGTTAAAAAAAAGTGAACTTATATTTTTTTTTAGAATTTTATGTTTATTGTTATAAAAAAATTCACAAAAATACTTTAAACAATTTTTATATGAAATATATATTTTCCAAAACACCTTTTATTCTAAAACTGTGAGAAAATCAAAGCCATAAATCTAAACAGTGTTCAAAATTTGAGCATTCAGTGTAATATTATGAAGCTGCAGACTCCCTGCATCTACAGTCCCCAACCGAGAGTCCCGCATTCTCAGACCCCTCGTTTTTCGAACACAGCGCCTCCTGCTGTTCGAAATATCGTATAACACCCGCACACAGAGTACAGCGCACGCTTATCCAAATGCAATTAAAAACAATAAGATGCAATATTACGGTCTCCAAATAAATGATCCAATAAATATTTGCGTTCCCTGCTTAATGCATGTGCCAAAAAAAACTCATTGCGATGGAAGGGATACAATTACAGATTGAACTATCTTCTGAAATATAGTATGTGATATTATATTGCTACAATGTTTTTTTATATTTTTTTATTCAAATTCCAATTTTTCTTTCAGTTCAACCTATAATGGTCTAATTAACATTACAAAATCTGTTTTTTGATATTTTGAATGCGAAGCAAAACAAATCAGAATAGACAAAACACCAATAATAAACAATTCTGTACTTTATTTAATGATCACCTAAACATAATCTTGCTGTAAAGAAAAAAGGAAGAAAAAACTGTGTTCGTGACTTTACTTTTCGTCTTCAATTGCATTAAAAAAACTAATTTATAAGTCGCTTTGCATAATCATAAAATGATATGTTGCTGGGTTCGGCAGGGGCGACTCCATCGATGTATGGTGTACCCTGGAATAGCCTACAACAGTATAGGCCCGATAGCACATGTCTTATGATGTTTCAAAAAGAAAGAACAAAAAAGAAAAAAGATGTTTGCAAATGTTACCTTCATGTTGCACTGCTCTGTTGAAGTGTCCCTTGAGATGTTTTTGAACTTTGGACAACTTTGTGGGTTTGAAATATATGGGGGCCGGGGCACAAAATGGGCAGTGGAAATCACTGCAGCATTTATGACATATCTACAAAAAGTCCAAGGTTAAAGGCTAACGTTAGCTATCAAAATATTTTCTCGGGGGAAGAGGGCGAAAAAACATACATTAACGGCTCAAATCTTGTTACAAACTATCTTTACAAATATTAAATGGACTATTCATATGTTGTATCGATGAGCTAAATTAGTTTTATTAAAAAATAAATCAAACGAGTAGGCTACTACGATTCGCTAAATAAAATTGAAGATAGCCTACTTACGTTTTGGCTTAAGTTCTTCACATGTTCTTCACATGTTTATCCGATACAATTTGATAGGAGGCGCTGTCTCGAAAAACGAGGGGTCTGAGAATGCGGGACTCTGGGTGCAGGGGGACTGTTAGTCTCAGCCTCAGACGTCACGCCCACGGAACGTTGGCTAAACGTCTGATGCATATGGTACACTTAACTGGAAACACTTCAGGAATGTCGAAGTCGTCATCTGATTGGTTGAATTTTATCGGATTTCCGGGGGCGCGAGTGTCGCATTTATTTTCGGTCCGCCGGGAAACAAAGCGCAGACGTGTGATTGCGGAAGAAAAACTGTTGTGTTTACATGAGTGACAATGAGCATTTATCAAGATCAGCTAAACGTAGGATTCTCAAAAGTATGCGAGGTTCACGGCATAGACTCTTGAAGTTTTCTTCTCCTTCTTTGATTTTCTATGCTGACTGACTTGTTGCACGCTGGTCTGTTGTTGTGGGGACATTTCCACGCCCCGAAACGTGACGCTGAATGAAACGATCTGTAATTGGTTGTTTTACATGTCGGTCAAACGGCCTTATGGGCGGGCCTTGGCCAAAGAAAGCTGCTATGAATTCCAGACCTTCAGCCGTCAGTCTGAAGGTCTGGCTACGCGAGACTAGGGGACTGTAGATGCAGGTCTCCGAGTCTGCAGCTTCATACTACTCATTCAGTGAGATGTTGTCCGGCTGCAGTGCCAAACGCTTCCACTAGAGGAAACTCGTCTCACTCATATCCAATGCGCTCATTTCTGACCGGAAACAATACAAGAGTGACTGTTTTTTTTTCCAGGACCATTTAACCTTTTCAAATCATGTCCATGTTTTTTTTGTGTGTGTTTGTGTGTTCACACAGCAAGTGCCAAAACCTTTACCAAGTTTCGTACCACTACGACGAAGTAAAAAATTCTTTAAAAAAAACAAACAAACAAAAAACCTAAAATGACCACAGAGCACCAGAGAGTTAAAGGTTTTTCAAAGAGTTTTCTTTTCATCCCTCCAAAAATCAAGTGAAAGAAAATAAACAAATGGATATACATGACCAGCTCATCAGAATATAGAGGAGTCTGGTGTGTGTGTGTGTGTGTGTGTGTGTGTGTGTGTGTGTGTGTGTCTGTGTGTCTGTGTGTGTGTGTGTGTGTGTGTGTGTGTGTGTGTGTGTGTGTGTGTGTGTGTGTGTGTGTGTGTGTGTGTGAAGCTGCTGAAGTGGAGATTTCTGACTGAACGGCCTCAAAAAACAAATACAGATTAGAGTAAAACTGTAAAATGCATGTGAGAAACACTCGCCAGAGTAGGACAGTCCTGCGATCTGGAGGAACAGGTCTTCTTCTGAGAAGCTCTCGGGCAGCATGAGGAACGAGGCGGTCACGGCACTCTTCAAGTTCCCCACGAGAGCGGAGCGCAGTTTCCTACTCTCATTCTGCAGCAGAACTCGAACCTGTGGAGGAACACACCACCAACTCACTCACACACACTTGAGGAGAACAGTATCTGCCCTTACAGAAAAAACACATGAATTTCACATGTTATCACATGTTTTCCACATGTGCCCACATGTGACCACATGTGACCACATATGCCCACATGTGACCACATATGAACAACATGTCATCACATGTGAACAATGTTTCACCACATGTGAACAACATGTCACCACATGCAGTAATGTTCGACCACATGTGAACAACATGTCACCACATGCAGTAATGTTCGACCACATGTGAACAACATGTCACCACATGTGAACTTAATGGAACACGTGGCACATGTGGAAAACATGTTATAGGTAATAATGTGGAGCTCATGTGAAATATATTTGCACGTTGTAATAGGTTTTAACATGTGAATTATGTTACCACGTCACAAATACTGTACATTTTTAGCTTCAATAGCCTTTTTCACACAAAATGCATAGAACATAAAGCTTATAATGCATGTGTATATACTAACACTTATATACACGTATAGTTTTTAATGAGTTTTTGCAATACTTTTATTTCAACACTGTTTACCATTTCTAAAGCTATATTGTAAATATATTTTACATAATCAACAGTATATTATATTTGATATAATCAATAGGCTACTGCAAGCACGTTTTCAAATAAAATAAAGTGGATATTAAACTTTTCATTTTAAGTGCTGCATGATTTTGACGTGGTTTAATCAATGCCGTGCGCGTGAACTTTCGAGTATTTCAAACACTGGAGCGGCCGGCGCGCAGAGTTGCCATGGAAACGGCGCGGGACCACTGCTACTGGTAAGCAACAAAACTCCCTCTCTCGATGTTGTTTAAACTTTTCACGGCTTTTTCCAGGTGAGATTAGTCTCTAAAATCACACGAATAATACTCACAACTGTTTTTGACATTTCTCTTACTTGTAATTGACACGATTCTGTTAAAAATTTACATGGTGTAGTGTCTTCGGAAAAAGTCCGTTAGGATCTCAACCGTTTTCTGAAGAGGTAGCAGCTAGCTAGGCTAACGTAATGTTAACTCGGTTGAACTTTTATTTATTAAAGTTTGGGCTTTTAATCACCTCTTATGTGTAGATGAGAGGTTTTGTAAAGGTTTTACTTGGAAGTGAGCTAATTTATTTAACACAAACGTAAACATAACGTATCGGTGATGTTACTTTCAGGAGCAAGAAAATTGGCTGAAACTAACGTTAGCTCAATGGTAACGTTAAACACATTTTGATTAAAAAATGTTCTGTGATTTCAGTAGTAACAAAATAACCCATAACAGAGAGAAAGCTCCACGACTTCAACATTTCTGGAGAAAGCTGCTGCCGGAGAAGTAACGTTAGGACACAGGTGAGCCGAGGAAGCTCATTAAATAACCTCATTTTATTTCTCAATTTGTTTTTTTAAATTGTTTATTTTAAGAAGGTTTTGACATCCAAACGAAGTTACACCGTATGAGCAAAATTAAATGAATAAGTAAACCCAAAAACAAATTCTGTTATCCTAGTTAAGAAATTATATTCTGTATATTCTTTAAATTCTTTCTCTTTTCTGCATTTCACCTCTGCTGTAGCTTCTTTCCTTTCAATAAACCTGGCATTGCATTGTTGGCTCAGTGACAAATGGCTTGTTGTGTTCTTAGATCCTTCAGTGCTGATGCCCTTCAACGGAGCGGAGTGGAGCTGATCTTCATCTCTAAAGCACTATTGATGAACCATATGATTAGTAAGTAAAACGCCAAACATACACTAATGTCAAACATACACTAATTGTCTTGGTACAAATGTTTATGTCTCTTTCTCTTATGTTCACCAAAAAACATTAAAAACAATAATATTGTGAAATAATATAAATAAATAAAAACTGTTTTCTATGTGAATATATTGTAAAATGCAATTACTTCCTATGATCAAAGCTGAATTTTCAGCATCACAGCTTCACATCATCCTTCATAAATTATTCTAATATGACGATTTGATGCTCAAAAAAACATTTATGATTATTATCAGTGTTGAAAACAGTTGTGCTGCTTCATATTTTTGTGTTTTTCAGGATTATTTGATGAATAGAAAGGTTAAAATAACAGCATTTATTTGAAACAGAAATCCTTACTCTCTCTTTTGATCAATTTAATGCATCCTTGCTGAGTAAAAATATGAATTTCTTCTTTTTTTTCTGTTCATTTTTAAATCTATCATTGACCCCAAATGTTTGAACATTAGTGTAAACTACCCTTCATATGTTTGTGGTCTATTTAACAATGAATCCTGGAGGGGAAAAAATGGTTTAAACTGTTACAATGGTTTACACAAACACATTAATCAGCACAACTGTTTTCAACATTGATAATAATCAGAAATGTTTTGGATGTTTACATGGTAAGAATGTATAGAATTCAAATATAAAAAACACTGACTCGTTAGGTCATGTTTACTCATTAAAGTCAGATGATTTCCTATTAATTCAATAGAATATGGTGACTTCAATTTACATGACGTCATGAGCAATCAAGTCATTTATATAGATCAGTGAGTAGTGCCCAGCATATCCAAGTCCACTAAAGGAGATTTCTCGCATTTTACCCCTAAACTCTGGAATATGAAGGTAAAAGAGTATCAAGACTCGAGCATGAACAATAAATACTTGTATGCTAAAATTTACACTCACAGCTCCAAAGTGAAAACCTCACCTAATATGCAATAACGTTGAAAAGATCACGGTTTCTGTCCTGACGAAAATGTTCTATTTTTTATTTTATTTTTTGCTTTGCAGAACAAGTCTGTGACTGACTTAATGAACCCAGTTGCTTTGGATCATGCTCAAAGATGTAAGGGCTACAAAAAGTTAACCAGAACTCTTATGGACTCCATCTTCTCTTTCGAAGAGATGGCAGCATGAACGGAAAAAAAGGGGTTGTTGGTGAAAAAAGAGCCTTGACCTACAAAAGGTGCAGCTAATAATTGGTAAGCATGTCTGAATATCTTTTATCAATAGTTATTATATATGACAAGCGCTGAGCGCGTCCGTCAGCGCCAGCCATAGCGCGGAAAGCACAGTTTGAATCTGACAGTTATGTCACTTCATGTCAAACTTGTTTTCAAATTTTAATGTAATCAATCTCATTTCTTACAGACCATGTCAAAAAGAGGCACCCAGGCATCGGAGGCACTGAGATCAAGGTCTGCATGGCACAAAAGTTAAAAGATCTGAGGAGACGAGCAGAAAGGTAATATTCAGACGATCCAACATCCAAGTGTGATCCCCATGTGGTCTGTTCACATTTGCGAAACCGACATGCGCGAGGACTGATGACTCAGTTTATTCCTCAGTCTACATTGTGATCTAATCACAAACTGTCAATAGTTTTTTTTATAAATGAGACGCACCACTCGTCTTATACAGTTGTTTAAGCAAGATGTATTTCCATAGCATATTTACGTAAAACGTTTAATGACATAATAACATTACAAATGAATAATAATTAATTATTAAGCCCCATAAAAATGCTTTTCAGAAACCTACGGGGTGACGTCACGGACACTACGTCCATATTTTTTTTTACAGTCTATGGTTTGCACTGCCCTAATCTTTGATCTTTTTCTATCCCAAAACAGGATGCCTGCTGCAGGAGACACAAAGGACTGAGACAACACACTTTCACAAACGCACACCACACACACACACATGCGCGTATACCTGCGTTTTTTGCGGCTTTTTATGTATAATTTTAATTTGGTTTTGCTTTGTTTGTTTTAAACATTCAATTTGTATTGCATATTTTGAAATGAAATAAAAAGTGAAAAAAAATTTTTTTTGAATTATTTGTTTTAATGTTGGGAAACATTAGGCTATAGAGCCTACACAAGAACATGGTAGGCCTACCGTTTTCTGTGGTATATTGCTTAATGATTTTTACATGGATTTCACATGAAGTTACAGGTTTACATGGTGTGTAGCTTTAACATGGATTGTTGATGGGTTTCAAATGTCATTCTATGGGTTTCACATGAGATATTTTACATTTCACATGATATCTCATGGGTTTCACATGTGATTAAATGTTTCACATGGGAATTTTACGTTTCACATGTAAGCTCATGGATTTCACATGGGAATTTTGGGTTTCACATGCAATCCCATGGGTTTCACATGTAATCACATGGGTTTCACATGCAATCACATGGGTTTCACATGCAATCCCATGGGTTTCACATGTAATCACATGGGTTTCACATGCAATCCCATGGGTTTCACATGTAATCACATGGGTTTCACATGTAATCACATGGGTTTCACATGGGTTTCACATCCCATGGGTTTCACATGTAATCACATGGGTTTCACATGCAATCCCATGGGTTTCACATGTAATCACATGGGTTTCACATGCAATCCCATGGGTTTCACATGGGAATATACATGGGTTTCACATGAAAATGTTCCAAAACCACACGTTTCCCATGTGCAAATTACCTTTAACATGTGCAAAGCACATGTGTTCCACATATTTCACATGTTAAATTTCACATGTGCAAAATCACATGTCCACGTTGTCACATGGGATCACATGTGTTTTTGCACATGTGAAACTCATGTGGTTTTTCTGTAAGGGTGACACCGACACCACACACACAGTCAGACCACAAATCTATTCAGACACCTTCAACATTTCTCACATTATCTCAGTTTATTCTATAGTTTAGAAAATGCTAATAAAATATGACGAGTTATCAGATCAGTGGATATTTCACTGGTTTTGTCTGTCCTTCTGTTAGACTCTCACACATGAATTATGTTGAATATCTGTCAGCTGTTAAATTTAACTACACAATTAGATAATACCAGTTTAGCTCAACCAGTGACCAAGCAATGCTTCATGTTGTTCAGTCTGTGTGTAAAAAGAGCATTAGCAATTACAGAAAACACACTGAAGAAAACACGATCAGCTCAAAGTGTCCGAATCATTTTTGGTCCCAAAGTTTCACTGGTAGTCACTGTATGAAGAATATTTGGGTATAATATGTCACAGTTTACTTTATTTTGCTCTCCTCACTTACATAAATGCACTATAGTGTCCTGATCACACTAGTGAAACAATATCAAAAATTATATCTGGTGTCTGAATACTTTTTGGTTCGCCTGTAAGTGCCCAAAATTAACCATTTCACTGACAGCCGAGAGATTTCTCAGTTTCTCATTTTTCTCAGTTATTTTGCTTTATTTCCAGATTCAATCATAGACTCTTTCTTACACACTAGAGCTCGTTCACACATGCGCACTCTTCAAACACGACACTTTAAATCTCTTAACAAACTAAAAGACGTAAATGACATTAGTATGTGTTCTAAATAAAAGATATAGATTGCACTGAATGTCAGCTTGCTTATTTTGCTCAAGATCAGGATTTGTCCACATGTCATGAAAACTGGAAACTCTGCTTATAACCACAGCTCGAGATCTAGATCTGTCAAACACACAACTCTGCGATGCTGTTGGCGAATGTTCGTTGGCGAACGATGCTTTCGGGAAACACACCCCAGGACGGTTAGTTTGCAGGATTATAGGTGAGGATGTGAAGAGTAAAAACTGCAGGTTCACAACAACAGATCATGCACACAGAAGAGCCGAGACCCAGAGGAGGCATGCGCCGTCTTTAAAACAAAGACAGCTTTTCTTTTAGTTTTCACCCCTGGCCTTGATTGGGATCTTTTTTTCCTTGTATTGTTTCAGATATACTTTATTGTGTGTTTTATTCACAATCTTGATACGTACCAAACATAAAGGACAACTGGGACACATGCAGGAACAGGGGAAATGTGGGAGATTATGTGTTCTCGCGTATGAGAGATAATGATCTAGTTGTGAGTGAGGTGTCTCTTGTTTGTTTAAAGAAATGCTTGATTATGTTTCCCGATATCTCACTATGAGTGAAAATACACTGGGCTTCACCCCTTTTGAAAGTTTCGTGTCTTTCGTAAAGGGTATTTCAATTTGAAATGAGGTTCAGTAACACAGCACAGTAAGTCTGGAAAATGGGAGCTTTATTACTTTGGACATGAGGGGGAAAGACTAGATCTATATAAGACACTAATCACAGTTATAACCCAAGTACTGGATTTAAAGAGGCAGTGACATCAGCAATGTTCCCTCTAAGCTGCGCGTGTGCGCGGCCGCACACTTCTGATGCCTCGGCCGCGCACTTCTAAGCGGCGGCCGCGCAGAAAAGAATAAAATGACACAGAGGACTGACGCGAAACGTGTGGGGAAATCCATTTGATTGTAGTTTAAGTGAGAAATAATTGCAGTGCTCTGGTCCACCGCTATAGAGAGAAAACTGGTGAATGCAGTTTACAGGTTTCATAGAAAGAGAATGATGTGAGCACGTGTGATTGGCAGTGAGTCGTGTGTGCGGACCAAATAGCTCAATACGAGAGGCAAAGAGAAACGCAAAGACATGTGAAATAAAATCAAATCATAATGTTTTAAAGAAGAGTGGTTTGATTAAAGTGGTGGAAATAACGGTTATGGACACAGAACGGTAACAATTACACACCCACCCGCGTGCAGATTCAAAATACATAGTTTAAATAGATGTTTTTGTCTGTGGGGGAGTTTCAGGGATGGTTAGATTATAAAAGATTAGATTATATTCATTTTTCTTGAAAATATTTAGCTATTAGATCTATTTAAATGCTTTGTTTTCATAATAATTTACTATGTTAACAAATTTAAGCATTTAAACTGATATATTATATCACTCCAAATACTTCAATTCGTTTTTTTTTATATTATATTATGCCTATATTTTATTATATTATAAGCCTAAATAAAGAATCTCACAAGGGTATTGTTTAGGGCTCCTTGCCATTAAAAAGTTTGAAACACCCTGCTAAAGAAAATATTGGAAATTCATAAGCAATAAACAATCATTTAACTTTGATGGTTTAATGCTTCCTGTACACAATTAATTGACTGTCAAAAACACTTTATGGTTTTCCCAAACCATCTCGGTGTAACAGCTTGCTTTTCTTTTATACTATATTCTATTATTGTAAAGAATTGAACTGTCCTGCAGAAGATTTTGTAAATTATTTTTCATAGGATTTCTTGGTAAAGACTGTACAGTTAACAGCACTGTAAAAAAATATCAGGTAACCTAAAATGTGCTTCATTTAGTGACTTCTTAATTTGTTAAGAAGCTTGTTTTTCGAAAATATGATTTAATACCAATAAGTTACATCAAGGGTCAAATAAAATAGAAATGGCACATTCAAGTTAAAAGTTACAACTGAATGTTGAAACCATTGTGTTTCTACATGCTGTACAGGTCAGGTTTAAAGAATATTTTTGCTCAGGTGGCGAAAAATGTCCGCCCAATAGAAAAAAGTTTTGCTCAGCAAGAAAAAAAATTAGAGGGAACATTGGACATCAGCAAAGCCTAATCAACCCAAGCTAGTGGATATTAAGTCACACACTACGGGACGCCACATCAGCGCATAGAGATAGAGATCTGATTGTTTACAACTGACATTATTTTCAGTCCTGACCGCCGAAGTGACATTACGCCGTGAGAGTGTGTGAATGTTTAGGGTGCCGTTTGGGATAGAGCCTCACATTACCAAACTTTGTTGAATCCCTGCCGCCATTTTGAAGTGCGTGCAACTTCGTCAAGTAGACGAGGGAAGTTTATTTGGACAGAGCCTCGACCCTTCGTCTACTCACTAGGGCGAAATCGAAAAACGATTGCACAATCGATCGGACCAACCAACACAAGTTTCGAAAACGAAAATAGGGAATCCATTTTAACTGCCTTTTTTTTCTTTTTCTTTTTTTTACCAGAAATGTGTTTATTAGGTTGACAGATCATTACAATGCACAGAACATGTAGGATGTTGGAAAATAACAATGTCTTTTCTGTTCACCAAATGCTTTTTAATATTCGCTATTACTTCAATGCAAGTGAACAAGCGCGCCGTAATTTGTTGCGTAGTGACGTGTGTGTTCAAGTAAGCCAGAAATGAGCAGATTCTGCGCAATACGCTGTATTTAATATATCATGAGGACTCACGAGTTGCGTATTTGCGCTAAATCGGAGCAGATTTGGCTTACACGAACTTCCCCAGCAAAGTGAGTAAACATAGAAACACGCCAGATTGGCTCGTGATTTGACAGCGTTACCCGTCGCCAAAGTTCATTTTTACCCGCATTTGGCGAGTCGGAGGGTGTTAATCTCAATCCCTGAATGTTGCGCTCCTGTTTGTCATTGTTCACGAAACTTCACGCCAATAAATCATCAGAAATATTGCTGACTTGTGTGCGTCTCAAGCACCCTCTTTACGTTCGTCCTAATGCCTGTTAGGTGTCCGTGGATTTGCCTGTATTTGGTGTTGAAAATGGAAACGTCTTTAGACATGGAAAATCGATTTTACAATCGATTCAATGAACACTTATGTCTCAAAAATCGAACAGGATTTTTTCACAAAAGTGACAGCCCTACTACTCAACATGTTCACTTCAGGCAAGTCCATATCCCACAATGCACCGTGAATGTGACGTCACAGCAGATCGCGTTTAATTTGCACACAATCTAGTGTATGATATTTAACCACATGATACTTGAGTGTTACGGCACCCCCGATGGGCTGGGGAAACACTCACAGGTTTGTGTAATCGGCCCGCGACGTACAGCGTCTTCCAGTGGAGTAAATCATCGATCAGAGCTTCGGTGCTGATGACGCCGTACTTGATCAACTGCAAACACAACATACGTCAAACAAACTGCATCTCGGTGTTTTCCCTCTCCAAGGCTGCATTTATCTGATCAAAAATACAGTAAAAACAGTGAAATATTATTCCAGCCAGTGTAAAATATAGTACATTACTCCAGTCTTCAGTGTGACATGATCCTTCAGAAATCATTCTAATATGATGATTTGATGCTTTAAGAAACATTTATGATTATTATCAATGTTATTTTTCAGGATTCTTCAAAGAAAGTTCGAAAGAACAGCATTTATTTGAAATAGAATCTTTTCCTACATTAAAAATGTCTTTACTGCCACTTTTGATCAATTTAACGCATCTTTTCTAAACAATATAATTCATTTCTTTAAAGTCCCCCTGTGGTGAAAATCCAGCTTTTAATGTTGTTTTTATGTGGTGTTTTTAATGTTGTTTATATGTCAAAACATGTGTAAATTCATAAGTCGACAGCATTGCTGAGTATTTTCTCCTTAAAGGGGTCATATAATGGTACATGCACTTTTTCAAGTTGATTGTACTGAAATGTGTGTTGGCAGTGCCTGTACACAACCATCATATAATGATAAAAATCTATCCAGTGTTTTTGTTTTAATCTCCTTATATGTTTTCCCCTGCCTCAAAATTGAGCCGTTCGACCGTGTGATGTCAATAAATCGGACGCCTCCCACGATTGTTGATTGACAGCAGCGTTTCAACACATCCCCGCCCTGCGTGAGCTGTCATCGTAGTCCGTCATTGTTGATACGCTGGAGCAGAATGGCGTCTAAGCGATTGTGGTGTTCTGTTTTTGGGTGTAATAACGAACAGAGTCATTCTGATGTTCCTAAATCCGAAACGCTGAAGACGCAGTGGCTGAGTTTTGTTTTCGAAGGGAATATGCTTTCATGTTTGCGCGATTCACGAATCTTTTCTCACCAGACTGCTTTATAAACGAGGATGAGTATAAAGCTGGTTCTCAATATAATTCATAATCCCACGTTTATAATGAACAACGTGTTATGGTTATTGTGTTATTACAAACTGAGTACGTATACATCAGTAAACACATAGCGTTCGTACATCTCACTAAGTTACTCTAACGTGACCCTGCCAGTACATATACAAAGATAGATCAAAGTGACATTACGTTAACCAACCATTCAGAAACGTCCTGTTCGAGCCTTAATTGTCAAACTTCTTTGCGGCCGTCATCTTGTTCCGGGTCCGACTCCGGTTCATACTGATACGGTTGCACAGATGTGTCCTCAGAGACTCCCGCTGCCATTCTTTCTCCAAAATATACCCTCAACTGTTGTCAAGGCAACACTCGTGCGTTGTGTCAAAACGCCCGCAGAACAGAGGGGCGGAGTCAGCGAAGCTCATTATCATTTAAAGGCATATGCACTGAAACGGCGTGCTGAAAACAGAGCTGTTTTTGACCAGGTAAAATGAGTGTTTTCTTAGGATACTAATGAGAATTTTTAATTAAAGTATATTACAAACTTTTCATTTAGACCCTAAAGAATCAAATTAACTTGTATGAAAATGGCATTATACAGGGATTAAAGTGAAAAAAATTCTTCTGACTGAAATTTTTTTCAGGCCAAGTCATATTCCTGTAACTTTATTTAAATAGTCGAGACCAATAGCGTTTTAAGGGAAGATGTTTAAAACCGATCTAATATTGAGTAATTTAAAAGCTATTTTAATCTATGAAAAACAATTACTTATCTTGACAAATAATCAACCATCTACATAACTTTTCAGTGCATGTTTTTATTTATCTTATGAGACCAAACAATGCTAAACTATATTAATATATAGTTTGTGCCATGGCAAATTGTTTTGGCTGAGGGCAAAGTGAAGTTTTATAACTTTATTATGTAGGCTATATTTAACTTTAACTTTGTAGCCTATTACAGAGCTGACTTATGTTTAATTGAATTGTTTGCTTTATTTCTCATTGTATAGCTTATTATAGCCTACCTATTAGGCTACTACTTTTGAACGGGATATTAGCATTAAAACTGACATTTAACAAAAAAGAGACATGGTTGTGTAATGTTATATATTCTAAAATATATAAAATATTATATTACTATGCATTCTCTTCACTGTATGTGTACGCATAATACAATAAAACGATACAACCCTGTCTGTTTGTTAAATGTCAGTTTTAATGATAAATAATGTTTCATATTTTTAAAATGAAAACAAAAAGAAGCAGGTTTGTGTTTTAGCTATATTTCGTGTTGTTATAACTATATGATAAATCAATGTGCGTTGCCTGAACCACATTTGTGTGGCCATTTATATGTTTATGATAATAATTATGTTCATTTATAAAAGAAAAGAGGCACAGTGGTGTTGATGAAAAAAGGCAGAGTTGATAACCGGAGTAGCCGCGTGCTGAGTGACGCGATCAAGAACGCGCTGTTAGCAGCGTCCTCTCGTCCTCGGGAGTTTGTTCTCCTGAGTCGAACTTGGCAAGTCCGAACTACCAAGGACGCAAGTCCGAAGTTTGCGTACTTGGTATTGAGAAACGACCAATATTGACCCGCGTTCTGTTTTCTATCATGGGACCGCAGCAAACGAGCTGTAGCCTCGCCTGACAAGATTGAGTGAACAGGGTCCAGGGAGCAGTTTTTCCGTGAGCGGGAATTGAAAAACCGGAGTGGACCATGAGCAAAGTGATTACAGAATGCTTAGAGTGGAGAGAGGAACGTGCTTTTGCTCCACTCCAGGCTTTATCACATCCCCCCTCAGCAGGGTGAATACGCATCATCTTTCCTTAATTTAAGACCTATTCAAACTAAAATTAAGACATTTATCACACTGTTTGCGAAATGAAAGCCTATTTACGGCCTTAAAATTATGAAAAGTTAATTTAAGACATAAGGACAGACGGGAACCCTGCAATTGACGGATATCCGTCATAGACTCGCTGCAATTAACGGAAATCCGTCGTAGCGACGGAGAACTTTAATCCCTGCATTATATGACCCCTTTAAAACTGCAGTGAACCAAAGACAGTCTCAAAAACACGGTTTGAAATCGCTGGTGTTTCTGACGTCACAAACTACCTTGTAACCAATCAGATCAACGTGTGATCGTCAACCAGTGGATCTCTGAGCTGAGTGAGTGAGTGGAGGCGGGGCTCATTTGCATATTCATAGAACCGCATATATTAAATGAGGCAAGGGTGTCGAGTTACATTCAAGATATTTTAAGGCAAAAAAACGTTTAAATATGTAATTTTGGTGATCAAAGATGAGTTTTAAGGGATAAGATGATTGACTACAGGGGGACTTTAAAAACAAAACGTGTGTGAGTTTGATACCCGGTCATCCGCAGGAATCAGTGTGTTGAAGTAAACTCCGGCTCCACACTCGCTCTGGATTCTGCTGATGCGTTTCGGCCCCAGGAACCTGAGGAACGAGTAATGCTTGCGGTTCTCCATCAGGTTCAGGGTGTGCCATGTGACCGGATCGTCCACGGCGAACACAAAATCCAGCATGTTCTTCTGAAACACAAAACACAAGCACTTCTTAGGAATAAACACACACTACCAGTCAAACGTTTGGGATCGGCAAGATTTTTTATGTTTTTGAAAGAGTCTCTTCTGCTCACCAAGGCTGTTTATTTGATTAAAAATACAAAAAATACAGTAAAACAGTGAATATTATTCCAGTGTAAATCAGCTGCTTTCTATGTGAATATATAGTAAAGTGTAATTTATTCCTGTGATCAAAGCTGAATTTTCAGCATCATTACTCCAGTCTTCAGTGTCACGTGATCCTTCAGAAATCACTCTAATATGATGATTTGATGATCAAGAAACATTTATGATTATAATCAGTGTTGAAAACAGTTATTTACATTTTTATTTCAGGATTCTTTGATGAATAGAAAGCTCAGAAGAACAGCATTTATCTGAAATAGAAAGCTTTTGTAACATTAAACACTACCGTTCAAACGTCTGGGGTCAGTAAGAATTTTTATTTTATTTTTTGGGGGAAAGAAATAAAATAAATCAATACTTTTATTCATCAAGTATGATTTAAATTGATCAAAAGTTACAGTAAAGACATTTATAATGTTACAAAAGATTTTAAATAAATGCTTGTTCAAAATCATCATATTAGAGTGATTTCTGAAGGATCATGTGACACTGAAGACTGAATTAATGTATTTTAATTCCAAGTGACAGACTTTCTTCAGATCATAACATTAGCATCACGTGAGGCGTTTCTTACCCTCATCTGACCTTGACAGATTCCATTCTGACTGAAAACAGCAGATCCATAAGCAAAGGCCAGACTGCAGTCCTGAGGAAACTGACTGAGAATCTTCCTGAAGAAAACACTGTTTTTCTGAAGAGCTGGAAGAGTCATAGCGGAGAATAAACACACAAACTCACCGACCAGCGCGTGTTTACATCGCGTTCAGAGCTACAACACCTCACTGTTCCCGGCTAGAACACACAGGCATGATGTTAATAACGAATATTATTAATAGTGATATTGTTAACTAATTGATTTTTGTCTTCTGAATTATTTAAAGATGTTAGATTCTTTAGACTGGTAATTTCACCGTCGAGCTCTGAAAAATGTCGGGTGTTCAGCTGATAGTTCTCGGGCGCCTCCGTGCGGTCTGGCGCAGCAGAATTTACCATTTATTAAAGGGACAGTTCACCCAAAAATGAAGATTTTTGTCATCATTTAATCACACACACTCAAGTTGTTCCAACCCCGTATGAGTTTATTTCTTCTGTAGAACACAAAATAATGTATTTTTAAAAAGCCCCTTGTTATTTGTTCCTACTATGGAAGTTAATAGCTGCCGTCAAATGTCTGGTTAGCAACATTCTTCGTATTATTTTGTGTTCAAGAGAAGAAAGAAACTTATATGGCTTTGGAGTAAATGATGACAGAAATCTTCATTTTTGGGTGAACTGTCCCTTTAAAGTGACGATCGAGGCACGCGTGCGAGTGACGGATGACGCAACATTCCATCAAACCCATCCCGACTGGTCTAAATAAACACCGTGACCGAAATGCCTATAATTAACCCAACTGATACAGTATGTGGTAAAAATGTGTTCTTTACAGTCCAAAAACAATAGCAAATCTATTCGTTTTCTCTATTTATAAAATGTAGGTTGTCACTTGTCACCAAATCTTCCTCTACTGCTTATTGGACTTAATTTCTTAATGGCCTTGATTGGGAAAGTGTTTGGTTATTAAATCATTATTTTTTTTGTTACAAACAAGGTGAAAGAAATTTATTTCATGACAATGGACAAATTCTACCCTGTCGAACATGTCCGTAGTAAGTTTGAGAAAGACGTTGATGGTGTTTCTGCTCTTTGCGCTGGAAACAGAAGGCCTCACATCTTCTGTAGCCTATTTATGTGGAGAAGTTATGCTGTGACGTGTCTATGTTTATTAAGGGTAAAGTACTCTTTAATTTTGATTTGCATTTTGAAAATGTAATGTTTGGATCTGAAGTATGATAAGAGTGCGAATAAGTCAAATTTGACATTCATAAGTGTAAGTTTCTAACAAAATCCCCTTTTCTCAGTAGGCCTTAAAGGATTTTTACTATTACTTTTCTACTATTCAATCTAGTGCTCATGGAAAAGCTATTAAGAGTTTCATTTGTGTACCTTCTTTAAAATCTTTGAATGATACAAAGGTCTTGTATTTTTGTGATATATATATATTAGGGCTGTCAAATGATTAATCACGATTAATCACATCCAAAATAAAAGTTTTTTTTACATAATATATGTGGGTGCACTGTGTATAATTATTTTACCGGTATATATATAAATACACACACATGCTTGTATATATTTAAGAAATATTTTCATGTACATACTGTATATAGATTTATATATAATTTATATTATATATAAATATAAATATTTTATATATAAATAATATTTTTTTCTTAAATATACATGCATGTGTGTGTATTTATATATATACAAAATAATTATACACAGTGCAACCACATATATTATGTAAAAAAAAACTTTTATTTTGGATGTGATTAATCGTGATTAATCATTTGACAGCCCTAATATATATATATATATATATATATATATATACACTAAAGTTTGGGGTCGGTACGATTTTAAATGCTTTTAAAAGAATTCTCTTCTGCTAACCATGGCTGCGCTTATTTGATTAAAAATACAACAAAAATCAGTTATAGTATTAAATATTATTCCAGTGTAAATCAGCTGTTTTCTGTGTTAATATATAGTAAAGTGTAATTTATTCCTGTAATCAAAGCTGAATTTTCAGCATCACCAGTGTCAGTGTCTTCAGTGTCAAATGATCCTTCACAAATCAGTATAATATGAGGATTTGATGCTCAAGAAACATGTATTATTATTATCAATGTTGAAACAGTTGTTGGTCTGTCAGTTGTACAGTTTTTTTGTTTTTATTTTAGGATTCTTTGATGAATAGGAAGTTCAAAAGACTTTTGTAACATTATAAATGTCTTTACTGTCACTTTCGATCAAATTAATTATTCCTTGATAAATAAAAGTATTGATTTCTTTCCTCCAAAAAATAAAAATAAAATTCTCACTGACCCCAAACTTTTGAACGGTAGTGTATATATAGATATATATATATATATATGGTCTAAATAAAAATGGCTTACCATATAGTAAATCAGGGTAAGACAAAAACATGTTTTGGAAGAAGAATTTATGATGTATTTGAGTTATTACTTTTATTGTAGGCCTACATTTAAAGCAGGATGGATTCTGATTGGATCTCAAAGGTTTTATCGTTCTGAAAGTGATTCCATTCCCACAATGTTGTTCCTTTCGTTATCATGTGGAATCTGCTGTTCTTTTACATTTAGAACTAAATCTTTATAGACTTTAGTTATAGTGCTTGGTGTGAAATCAATTAATCAATAAACAAACAGCGTTTCGGAGTTCCATAAAATACCTTTTTTTTTATGCAAAAATGAGGTAATGAGGTAAGGGAAGGAACGTGTGTGTGTGTGTGTGTGTGTGTGTGTGTGTGTGTGTGTGTGTGTGTGTGTGTGTGTGTAGCAGAAATCCTACCTCTACAAATGCTGTGTTTCCATGAACAGCCACTAGAGAGCGCTGAAGGATTGAGCGTTAGACTTTTATTATTTATTTATATTTTTAAATAAGGATAAATCTACTATAGAGAGATGACGTGCCTGATGACAGCAATGACAACACCAGGATTCGTTCACGTGACGATGACGATGACGGTGATGATGATGAGGATGATGATGATGATGGTGATGATGATGATGCAGCTCTGTTGAAATTATTATGCATACAATTCAATCCTAGGTTCAATCTTACATATTTGATTCTACCAATGTCACACATTATTTCAGTTTAAAAGACATTTTTTATAATGATGATAAAAAAATAAACCCCCAGAGTTTTATTAAATATTATGCAGAAATATTTAAAGGAAATACATGTCAGCTACTTAAAGGTTTTCCTTGTATATTAATGTATGTTATTGTATCAATACAATTGTGGTGTATGCCTTCTTGTCATATCTCTGTCATGTCATCTTTTTTGTATAATCATTTGTTTTTTCTTTCTTTCTTTCTTTTATTATATTATATGTATTTGTATGTAATTCCTTGACAATGTTCTTATGTTATTGAGCATTCAAAAAAATATGCAGATAGGCCTACAAGTGCTGATTCTGTGATGAGAATTCAATAAACAGAGTTCAAAGCCATTGTCACGTGTCCTCTTTACACATATGCGCATTATAATGTCACGTGAGAGAGAACCTCGTCATCATCAGAGAGTCTCAGTGCCCAAAACACACTGATGAATCCCATTCTTCATGTTCTGTGTGTGTTCAGTGTCATCTGCCTCGCAGCGAAGGCTAATTTAAGGGGATAGTGTGTTTCAGGCGGTGATGATAATGGAGGAACTGATGATTATATGTACATCTGGACCTCAGCTCTTTCTCAAGCACACACACACAATCTCACACTTTACTGCAGTTGCCATGGAGACGCTTCACTTCTCATCCCTGTGTGTAAAGCCCGCCATCCGAGGACTGTCGCATCTCCTACACACACTGCGTCCCTGAAGCCTTTCTGATCAACACAATGCACTTACACACACGGAGACCTCAGAAATATGACATTCAGCTTAATAATTCATGCAGCACTTATCGTTGGGGGGAAACAGGCAAATATTGGCAGAGAACATGAGAGGTTTATACAGACTGTAAGCAATAGTACAACAAAAAGCATCTTAATCATATTCCAGCAACACTTTAACACAGCCATATAGAACTGGTTTAATATAGCAGATGGGTTTATAATCTCATTTTAAAGCTGCATAAATTCATTTTCATCTGGATCATTTTCAACAGAATGTCTTTGGCAAATTTGTAAACTAATAATCTCACAAAGTTTGCACATGCAAATTCTAAATTCTAAAATGTCACTAAAGATGTTTGTATGGAAGATGGTATAAGATCCTATTAAATACAAATAAAAATAAGAAAATTAATAGAATACTATATAAATCAGAATGCATTAGGGAGAAATTAAAAATCTATCTACTTAAAATCTACTAATAGGGCTATAAAAATAAGCACACATGTAATGTAACAAAAAGCATCTTACTCATATTCTAGCAACACATATTTAACACAGCCACATGTTTACAGTAGTTAAATATAGCCGATGGGTTTTCTTCCTTCTCATATTAAAGATGGACGGAATCTAAGCATTTTTAAATCCAATTTTTTTTTTTTTAGGTTAGCCTTTTCTTGATGGTTTTAATTATTTTGTATTCCAGGTTGTTCTTTTGGGTTTTTTGTATTTCTATCTGTGTATTTCTCTCTCTCTCTCTCTCTCTCTCTCTCTCTCTCTCTCTCTCTCTCTCTCTCTCTCTCTCTCTCTCTCTCTCTCTCTCTCTCTCTCTCTCTCTCTCTCTCTCTCTCTCTCTCTCTCTCTCTCTCTCTCTCTCTCTCTCTCTCTCTGCATTTTTATTGTGTAAAGTCCCTTGAGAAGCTGCTTTAAAGGCGCTATGTAAAATAAAGTTTATTATTATTTTTATTATTATTATGCCGGCCAATATAATCTCCCTTTAAAGCTGCATAAATTCATTTTCATCTGGTATTTCAAACAGAATGTCTTTGCTTCCTTGGCAAATTTGTAAACTAATAATTTCACAAAGTTTGCACATTCAAATTCAAAATTCTATAATGTCACTAAAGATATTTGCATGGAATATCCTATTAAATACAAATAAAAAATAGGAAAATGAATAGAATACTAATCAGAATGCATTTAGGGAGAAATGCAAAATCTACTAATGTCTACTTAAAATCTACAAATAGAGGGCTATAAAAATAATCACACATTTCTATGTAATGTATAGCAATATTTCCACTATATATTCCAGGTTTGTAATACCACATACACAAAAAAGTTGGATATGCACATAATGAGATTTTTTTTTTTAAACTCGACAATCACAAAAAATCGTTTAAATTATGTTTTATTAACAAAGTTCGGGAGGAGCACGTTCAGATAATTAACCTAAATTAACTTGAGGAGCGCACTCAGTTAATCAACCAATTACCAAAATAAGAGGTGTATATACAGCAGACTTACCTCCGTTCGACAGTTTAACAGCATATTCAACGCTATCTCACGACCGATTCGTATGAATTCGTACGAGTGAGTAGAAGGTGGCTAATTCGTACGAGTGAGTAAAAGGTGGCTAATTCGTACGACTTCACTCGTACGAATAGTCGATTTGTCTAAACCCACGTGACGGGTAGGTTTAGGAGCGGGGTCAGGGGTAGGTCATTCGTACGAATTCATACGAATTGGGCAACTCGTAAAATATGTACGATTTAGCAAAAAGCGTACGAATTTTACAACGTGGCAAATTCCTACGAATTCATCTTGTATGAATTCGTAGGCTTTTTTCTAAATCGTAAATATTTTACGAGTTGCCCAATTCGTATGAATTCGAGTGAGGTCGAATGAATTAGTACGAATTAGCCACCTCGTAAAATTCGTACGAATTGCCGTGAGATCGGGTTGGCATATTGGTTCGGCCTTGTTTGCTACCATGTCGCAACTCCAGCTCTTCCCGTCTGCCGACGAGTCTAAGCTCTCGCTGGATCCTCATCCGCAGTCTGCCGCCGCTAGGACCACTCCCCGAGGCTTCTTTGCGCGGCCCGGACAGCTACGCGCTCGGCTAGTCTCACAGTCTGAACGTCTGATGCATATGGCAAACTTTTCTGGACACACTTCAGGAGTTTCGAAGTCGCGATCTGATTGGTTGAATTCTGCAGGATGTCCGCGAGACGTGTGTGTCGCGTTCTTTATCGATCCGCCTGGAAACAAATGCCATGACGCCAAAACCCCTCGTGGAAGAAGAACGCCGTTGAGTTTACAACTGTGACAATGTAGGATCAACTAAACGCTGGATTTTTAAATGTAAATCTGCATTACAAACCCAACGATGAGCTAAGCAGAAACCTCTGCGTCTCAGTGTGGTTGAAGCTCCGCATGGTGTCGCTTCTTGTATCAGTTGTGCACAAATTGAGCTGAACAGCTGAAAACCTGCAACATCTCATTTGGATTCATCTCTAATTACACAAGACACAATGTAATTATATTCATATTGGTTATCATTTTCCCTGTTTGCCATCAGCATGTAGTTGTTCCCGCTGGGCTTCACACAGAAATGAAGATCGTCATCTAATTTAACTTGAGAACTCATGCTATTTGATGAGCAAACATCGCTTTAACCCTTTCTCTCCCTGATAGTTCCTCTTTCGGTGTGTGTGTTTGTGGGATTTTTCCTCCTGTTTCATGGTCCAGCACGATCTTCTCAATCCCACTCATCCCGCAGGATTCATGTGTGCCTGTTGCTGTGTCTGAGTTATGTGCTAAAGTTTACAGTAATACATTGTTCTTATGATTTACACTAAGAATAATTCTACTAGGCACTAATATAACCTGTTTACATCTCCTTAACCTGTTAAGTCAAGTCACTTTTATTTACAAATTCTCTCTCACACACACACACACACACACACACACACACACACACACACACACACACACACACACACACACACACACACACACACACACACACACACACACACACACACACACACACACACACACACACACACACACACACACACACACACACACACACTTGCAGAGGTGTAAAGGTGCCATATGTGTATTCCACCCATGAACTCAGCCAGCTGATTTCACTAAATGATGTTTCATTAAACAAAGTTCAGGAGGAGCACGTTAAAATTGCCCTCTCCACGGACAGCACGCCAAATACGCATACCATTTATTCTATCTGATGTATTTGTAAGTGTGAACTCGTGAATTAGTTCTATCTCTAAAAACTGTGCTAATTAGCAAATCCAGGTGGACGTTTACTTTCTGAACCTGGACGTTACACCTCTGCACACTTGTACACGCACCCAAACACTCACTCACTCACACACACACACACACACACACACACACACACACACACACACACACACACACACACACACACACAAACAGGCGCACACATCTTTGTGGGGACTCTCCATAGGCGTAATGGTTTTTATACTGTACAAACTGTATATTCTGTCCCCTTACACTGCCCCTATCCCTAAACCTACCCATCACACACAACTTTCTGCATTTTTACATTTTCAAAAAACATTACTTAGTATGATTTATACGCTGTTTTCCTCATGGGGACCGCTGGCTGGTCTGGTCAATATAAACCTGAACATACACTCTCACACACACACACACACTCACACACACACACACACGCTCACAAGTCAAGTCACCTTTATTTATATAGCGCTTTTTACAATATAGATTCTTTCGTAAAACAATTTCTTTAATTTTAATCTCTATAAATGCATTAATAGTCTCAAATGTGCTGCTTCGGTGTTGTTTAAACCCAGACGAACACCATCACCATTGAAACCTTCAGCAAATCTCATAACCTCATGTTACATTTCTGTTGCTTTCAAATGCCTCTCTCGATCATGATCGCCATTCCTCATCATGCATTTTGTTTGTATTTCCTGCAATGTATAACATGGGCTTGCCATATTTGAACTGAACGATGGCACAGGATCAGTGTTTATAAGACGCAGCCGTGTCTCTGCCATCTGCACACCTATTCCTCATCCCATCGTCCTCCCAGGGTCTGCAGGTCATCCCGATCCCGATCCCAAGGAGAGAGAGAGAGAGAGAGAGAGAGAGAGAGAGAGAGAGGGGGGGGGGGGGGGGGTTGCTGTAGGAGCCTCCCCTCCTTCCATGTATATTCACAGGAAACCCCGTTCAGCAGCTGCGGTTCAGCGTAAGCGTAATACACTCACGTAAGCAGTGATGCAGGAGATCGTGAGGGACGGAGGGTGGGGGGGGGGGAGAGAGAGACAGGCAGAGTGTGAACACAAACAAATCACACTCACACACACACTCATACTCGACAAACACTCACACACTCACACACGCTCACAAGTCAAGTCACCTTTATTTACACACTTGTACTGTACACACTCACACATACTTGTTCACACACGCACACACACACACTTACACACACTCTCACACTTGTTCACTCACTCACTCACACACAGACACACACACTCTCACAAGTCAAGTCACCTTTATTGACACACTTGTTCACATTTACACACACTTGCACACATGCACACTTACACACACTCGCATACACACACACACTCACACACACACTTACACACATGCACACACACACTCTCAGTGATGTAGGAGATCGTGAGGGACTAGGGGGAGGGGGAGTACCAGCGAGGGAGGGAGAGAGGAAGAGATAGAGAGAGAGCGAGGGAGGGAAAGCATGTGAGAGGAGGAGAGCGAGAGAGAGAGAGTGCAAGAGAGAGAGAGTGCGAGAGCGTGAGAGAGGAGAAGAGCGAGAGAGAGAGCGAGGGAGAGCGTGTGAGAGGAGGAGAGCGAGAGAGAGAGAGGAGAATGAGAGAGTGCGAGAGAGAGAGAGGAGAGAGAGCGAGGGAGGGAAAGCGTGTGAGATGAGGAGAGAGAGAGAGAGAGAGTGCGAGTGAGAGAGAGAGGAGAGAGAGAGCGAGGGAGGGAGAGCGTGTGAGAGGAGGAGAACGAGGGAGAGCGAGAGACACAGGCACAGTGTGAGCATCTCTTCCTGGCATTCGAGCTGTCAGTGTAGGAAGAGCAACATCAACACACACACACACACACACATCTGATCTGAGCGTTTAACCGTCACCAGCCATGAACTTCCTCCGCCGTCGTCTCTCCGACAGCAGCTTCATCGCGAACCTTCCCAACGGATACATGTCGGACCTCCAGCGGCCCGATCCTCCTCCTCCTCCTCCTCCCAGCGGCCCGACCCCGACTCCATCAGCCCAATCCCCCCCCGCGCCCCAACCGGCCCAGTCCAGCGGCCCCACCGGCTCCACCGGCACCACCGGCTCCACCGGCACCACCGGCTCCGGCTTCTTCAGCTCCATCACCAACGCCGTCAAGCAGACCGCGGCGTCGGCGGGACTCGTGGAGCAAAGCCCGTCCACGGCGTCCCGCAGGTTCAGGATCCTCCTTGTCATCGACGAGCCGCAGCACGACTGGTGAGTGTGCGTCCGGGAACTACACTTGTTGATCGTGCATGAATCCATGCGCACGTCGTCCGCCTGATTCCAGTCAGAAGTTCTTTATGTATACGCCTGATAAGCAGATCTGCATGCAAACTGGCTTGATTTACAACACTGTTCGTCACTAGAGCTACTCTCTAAATCACAATTTCAACCTTTTATTGAGATCGTCCTGTGTTTGAGATGAGACGGTTAGGCTGCTGGAAGTGTGGATGAACTGCAATTTTTCCATCTTTTTGCAGTGTTGACCACCAAACCATAGTGAACTAGACTTGTTGATCGTGCATGAATCCGTGCGCACGTACGTCGCTCATCCATGCTTGTTTTAGAGGCACGTTTCGATCTCACTGTCGGGTTTTCTTCACAAAACGAGCCTCGTTCCAGTCAGAAGTTGATTGGTACCTTGAAAAGCCGCCATTCTTTATTTATACGCCTCTTAAGCAAACAGTGCATGCTTTACAACACCGTTCGTCACGACGCAGATCTACTCTTTACATCACAATTTCGTCCTGGGTTGTGTTTGAGATGCATCACTGATGAGAAAGGTGAGGCTGCTGGAAGTGTGGATGAACTGCAGTTGTTCCACCTTTTTGCAGTCCTAATTGCTGGTTATGAAATGCCCATGCAGCTGTACAGTCTCGGTTACTATAGTCTCCACTCCAGTGCTGCGATTGATTGGCTGTGCAATATTGCATGCATGAATCAGTGCTTACGTTACTCACCCATGCTTGCATTAGAGCTTCATCTCAGTTTAGGGTTTTCTTCACAAAACGAGCCTGATTCCAGGCAGAAGTGGATTGGTCCCTTGGACGCCTGAAAAGCATGCATGCAAACTGGCTTGATTTACGACACCGTTCGTCACGACGCAGATTGAGCACTAGAGCTACTCTCTACATCACAAATTCAACCTTTTATTGAGATTCTCCTGGGCTGTGGTTGAGATGCATCAATGACTGACGCTTTTTTCTTCTAGAAACAGACTTGCATTATTTTCCTATCATCTCTGTAAAGCTGCTTTGAAACACTCTGTATTGTAAAAAGCGCTATTTAAATAAAGCTGGCTTGACTTGACACGGATGATGAAAGGTTAGGCTGCTGGAAGAGTGGATGAACTGCAATTTTTCCATCTTTTGCAATCTTTTGTTCCTGTGTATCATTATCACTATAGTTGTGGTGTGGAATCTGCTATTCATTTAATCAAATCAATTGCTGATTATGAAATGTCCAGAAGTCCAGTCTCGGTTACTATACACTCTAACAAATGCAGGGTTGTTTTAACCAAAATGTGGGTCAAATATGGACAAACCCAACCGTTGGGTTAAACATTTTAATTTAAAAAATGGAACCCAACGGCTGGGTTTGTCCATATTTGACCCACATTAGGGTTGAAACAACCCTGCATTTGTTAGAGTGTAGTCTCCAGTGCTGCGATTGATTGGCTTGGAAACCCCCGTCCGACTGCACCTGATGAATGTTCGGACTACATTACATTAATGAGCTTAGCGCTTTAAGCGTGCCACAGAAGACATTTATTCACAGGATTTGCATAACCCAGAGTAGAGGAATCACAACTTACTTCCCCTGGTTACAAACATGAATATTTCAGTGGCGTTTCTCCAGGAGAGTCAGCATGCGTTCTCTCTAAGAAAGCAAAGCCAACTGTGTGTTATGTGGATACTATTGATTTTTCCAGCGCTGGGGGAGCCCGTAAGGCTCGATACGACTGACTTAGGAAGCCAGAGCTTTTACTGTAATATAAGCGAGCCTAATTACTGTAGAGCCTTGCAAATGTTTTGCATTCATTTTGCATTTCACACACTCAAAGACGTTCATGCTAATTCAAGTATTTAGATTGTTCACTCTCAGGAACAAATGGTACAAAATATGTATATGTCACTGGGTTGGTACCCTTTAAAAAGGTTCTAATATGTAACATTTAGGTACTAATATGCACTCTTTAGGTACAAATGTGCACCGTTTGAAAGGGTTCTGCTCCAGTGACAGCTTTTGTCCCTTTCTTCTGAGAGTGTTGGATGAGTGCAGCACATCGCCTATTCAGTCCACATGCAGAGAATGTGTATTCAAACAGAAGGAGAATAAAGACACAGACATCATCTTCAATCTGTTTGTGTTCACCTCTTATAATAACATCTCATCCCTGTGCATTTCATATGATCGAACACATTTAAGTCCCAGCATTAAGTGAGAAAGGTTGGTTATTGAGGGTGATCTGGAAAGCGTCTTGTGTAGCACTGAAGAGTGAGGACGACACAAACATGACGCTTACATAACCGTCGGCTTCCATCTTCTGTGTGATCTGGGAAAAACCTCGCTTTATTCCCTCAAGACTGTGTGCTTTTCTCTTGCTGGAGATTTCTTTGCTACTAGATTTCCTTTATTTTGCTCAAGAATTGTGAGAAATCTGTGGTCTTCTACATGTTAGTTTTCTGAACCCCCCCCCCCCCCCCCCCCCAGTCTACGAGGAGAGCTCAATCCCGGTGGATGTGGGGATACGGAGCCGTTCTGCCCTTGAGTCTCCTCTGTGTGGATTGGAGAGAGTGTGTGAGGGCAGTCATGTGTTGAAGTAATGAAAAGAGACATGGTGAATCAGCACAGTGAGCCCGAGGCTTGCGTCTGAGCGCTGTGTGTGGTGTGTGTGAGTGTGTGTGGTGTGTGTGAGGATGATGTTGTTGCTGGGAAAGCAAAATGTCGACATGCAGGACAGATTATTCCTGCGATTATGTTTATGTATATACATGTGTGTTAACTGCCTCCCCACCAGCGTCAGCATCACTCATCATATTCACAAACATTTCATGCCCCCCATAATATTTTGTTGTATGAATATGTAAACAGTCAATATATCAACAACAAAAAAAGAAAGAAAAGAGAAGAGCCTCTGGTTTTATTCTAGCTTTATTCATTCTGTTTTATCAGCCCTTTGAATGTGAGTATGTTTTACCAAAAAACAACATAGAAAATGGTATGTTTGTCAAAGTCTTCGTCCGGATGGGATTCAGAACGATCATAGATCAAGTCCATCCACACCTCAAAGCTTTAGTCGTTTCCTCTTTATGTGTTCAACATTTCATTCAGTAACATAAGGCAGTTTTGATTTACAGTATTTAATGTTTAATGATCACATTATGTGTGTAAACTATCCGCTCCTTCTGGTTTACGCAGATCCAGGGCTTGACATTAACTCTTTTGCTCTCCAGTCACTGGTTTTCCAAAGTTACTAGCCACAATTTTGACCAATAGCGTAGGGAAAACTGCCAAATTGATATTTTTAATATTATCTCATAATTTCACAGCAGGAATATTAGGCTGCTGTCACTTTAAGACCTAATGCACGGATCCATTATACTGTCACACATGCGTTTTCTTTCTCAGCGGTATACGTTTACTTATAATGTAACTGACTGTGTTTACAACCTCAAATCAGAAAAAGTTGGGACAGTATGGAAAACACAAATAAAAAAAGAAAGTAGTGATTTCTAAATGTACTTTAACTTGTATTTCATTGCAGACAATCTGAACACAAAATATTTCATGTTTTGTCTGGTCAACTTAATTTCATTTCTAAATATATACATCCTTTCCTGTCATTCAGACCTGCAACACATTCCAAAAAAGGTTGGGACAGGAGCAATTTAGGGCTAGTAATCAGGTAAATTGGTTAAATAATGATGTGATTTGAAAAAGGTGATGTCAACAAGTGTAAATTGTAATTATGATTTGGTGCAAAAGCAGCATCCAAGAAAGGTCTAGTTCTTTAGGAGCAAAGATGGGCCGAGGATCGCCATTTTTGCCAACAAATACGTGAGAAAAAATTGTTGAGATGTTTAAAAACAATGTTCCTCAAAGAAAGATAGGAAGACATTTCACCTTCAACAGTGCATAACATAATTAAAAGATTCAAGGAATGTGGAGGAATTTCAGTGCGTAAAGGACAAGGGCGCAAGCCGAACAACCGTGATCTCCGATCCCTCAGGCGGCACTGCATCAAAAATCGTCAAGTTTGTCAAGTACCACAATATGTAGTTACATCCACAAATGCCAGTTAAAACTGTACTGTGCCAAAAGAAAGCCCTACGTTAACAGTGTCTAGAAGCGCCGTCGACTTCTCTGGGCTCGAAGGGATCTGGGATGGACCATCACACAGTGGAAACGTGTACAGATGAATCAGTATTTTAGGTATTTTTTGGGAGAAATGGACGCGTGTGCTCCGGACTAAAGAAGAAAAGGATCATCCAGACTGTTACCAGCAACAAGTCCATAAGCCAAGGTCTGTCATGGTATGGGGTTGTTTCAGTGCCCTTGGCAAAGGTAACTTGCACATTCTGCACACATTACAAAGTCCTGGCTGCGGAGGAAGAGGATACGGGTACTTGATTGGCCTGCCTCCAGTCCCGACCTGTCTCCAATAGAGAATGTGTGGCGCATTTTGAAGCAAAAAAATGCGACAACAAAGACCCCGTACTGTTGCCCACCTTAAGACTTGTTTGCAGCAAGAATGGGACAAAATTACACCTGAAACACTTCATCACTTGGTGTCTTCAGTCCCTAAACGTCTTTCAAGTGTTGTGAAAAGGAATGGCAACATTACAAAGTGGTAAATGCTTTACTGTTCCAACTTTTTTTGAAATGTGTTGCAAGAACCAAAATAGGATTTAAAAACAAAAAAAAACAAAAAAAAACAAACAAATAAAAATCATGAGGAACACATTAAATGATGTGCTGTTGTATTGTCTTCAATGAAATACAAGTCAAAGTACATTTAGAAATCACTACTTTCTTTTTTTATTTGTGTTTTCCATACTGTGCCAACTTTTTCTGATTTGGGGTTGTATGTCAATACTCGTCATGACCGGCATTTTGACATTATTTTGTGTGTATTTGACTGTGTAAGTGCAATAAGCAGCGAAAATGAACTAAATTTAGTACTGAGAGGCGGCTTTATGTGCCGCACTTCG